CATGGCACGTGGGAATCGAACTTCGCACAACTCCCCCAGTAAGCAAAAATTAATTATAAATGTATTTACGTGTTGTTTGTAACTATATTTATTTATTTATTTAGTTATTTATGGTTACCTTTTATAATTTGCAGGTTTTTCGCCACCCTTCAAAGGGCGAATCCCGGTACAGTTGTTGAGTGGGAATGGTAGGGTGGAGAAATAGTGAAGCAATCTCGAGACAGAGAATTCAAATTTGTCTTCTGGGCGTTTGGCCCCGCCATTCAAACCTTCCTTCGTTGCCCGCCGATTATTAGCATCGACGGCACGCACCTGCGAAGTTCGTACAAGGAGAAACTACTTGTTAATTGCAAATTAATATTTTATTTTATAATTTACAATAGTGTCTGATTAAAAAAAAACATATGTCCAACTGAGCAGGTTCGTACAAGGGGAAGCTGCTTGTTGCCATAGCACAGACCGCGAATAAGCGTCTATTGCCAGTCGCGTATGCGATTGTGGACGAAGAAAGCACGGCTAGCTGGTCCTTTTTCCTAACACATCTGCGCCATCATGTCGTCCCCGGCAGACCGATATATCTTCTTTCCGACAGGGACAACGGCATATTGAGTGCCGTTGAATTACTGGAGACTTGGCACGAACCCCATGCATTTCATCGGATATGCCTTCGGCACCTCCGGAGCAACGTGTTTTCAAGGTACCGGACTAAGAAAATCCGGAGTTTGTGCTGGAGGTTGGGTTCACTGTGTTCTCGCCGCAAATTTGAGCAGAGTCGACAGGATCCATGAATGTAACCCGGAAGCATACGATTACCTTTTCAAAATTCCTCTGGAAAAGTGGACCCTGTACAAAGATGGAGGACGTCGATGGGGCACTCTCACAACGAATATGTCAGAGAGTTACAACAATGTTCTCAAAGGTGTTAGGTTCCTGCCCTGCAGAGCGTTGGTACAGGCCACAATGAACAAGACTCTGGATTTGTTTGAATAGGAACAAAAGAAGTCCAGAGGATGCAGGACTCTCATTCCTACCGACCTCTATGCCGCCTATCGGGTGTTGGAAAAGACGGCGGCGACTCACGAGGTGGATGTGTGGACGCTGACGGATCCCAGTACATGGTGACAACCGGTCTACGCGCCAATGGAAGAGGGCAAAACAAGTATGTATTTTTTAATTGTAATTGTTTTTTCCATTCAAATGAGTTTATTTTTTTTTAATTTATATATATAAATCATTGTTGAAAATAGGTTTAAGGTCTATTATCAGCAGCAACGTTGTGCATGTAGGAAGTGGCAGACACATCGAAAACCATGCTCTCATGCAATTCGAGTATGTCGTCACCGGGGTGAAATCGAACTAGTACAATTAAAGTCAAATTAGTGAAATCGAACTCGAAATTAGTACAATTAAAGTCAAATTAGTAAAATTATAGTGAAATCGAACTCGAATTAGTACAACTAAAGTCAATTATAGTAAAATCGAACTCGAAATTAGTACAATTGAAGTCAATTATAGTGAAATCGAACTCGAATTAGTACAATTGAAGTCAATTATAGTAAAATTGAACTCGAATTAGTACAATTGAAGTCAAATTAGTACAATTATAGTGAAATCAAACTCGAATTAGTACAACTAAAGTCAATTATAGTAAAATCGAACTCGATGTAAGTTTCTTAGGTCATAATAATAAATAATTATTATTTTTTTAATTCTATTTTTTATTAAATTTATTAATAATTCTATAAATGTTTTTTTTTCACAGTTCGATTGGGTACCCTATCAGACGTACATAGACGAGGGTCGGCTCCCGGAAGTGCGCACACGAGACCGACATCTTTGGATGTACAAGGGGTAGATCTTCTGCTGGAACATCGCAGAACCCCACGAGCCTGATAGGGTGCTCCGCCAGTTTCGGTGCCACCAGCCCATCCCCCAACAGCCGCTCATTACTAGTCTGGCCGACTGGGACACCCGCCACAAGGGCCAGGGCATGACTGGGAGGGCATACACCGATTGGCAGGCCTTCCATGCTGATCTTGGGAGGATCTGGACCGAAGAGAGAGATCAGAATGTCCTCCCAGATGTCCCGGTGGATCCCTTCCTGCAGCCGGCAGATGGGTACATTGATTGGTTTCATAGTAGGACTGTGAGACTATTCAATGGCCCCAACAACTACGCGGCGATCTCACAGGACGGCGGGTTTCAGCCATATGCCGACCGGGAGAAGTGTCAGGTAACTGTCTGCTATTTTGTGATTTTTTTTTATTATTAATATTATTGAAGTAATTATTATTATTATTATCATTATTTTTAATATTTGATAGTTATTTGAATTTTATTTTGCAGTTTTCGGGTACGGAGGTGGCGTATAACATGCTAACGAACATTGAAGACATTGATACGCTACCTCCCCGAGCGCAGTCACAGTTCCAGCAAGCCCAGGAACTTCTGTACGCTTCTCTGACTGTTGGGGGTCAGTCGGTCACACAAGGGGCGTCGTCGGAGCAAATTCTATCTCAAGATGAGTACGCCCCACCCCAGCATACACAGTCTCAGCGGGCGAGGCATAGACCGGCGCCCCACATTGGTGGAGGGAGAAGACGCCGTGACCGCGAATCCGCCGGGAATGAAGAAGACGAAGAAGGTGAGATTTTTTTATTTAACTACAAATATATATATATTTTGTGTTTCTTTTTATTTATTTGTCCGGTTGAATTATTGATTTTTTACAAAAATTAATTAATTAGGTGGACAAGAAGAAGAAGAACCAACCACGCCTGGACCGACCGCAGGATCGTCTTCTTTGGTACCGGGGCCTCGGAGAGGGTCCCGAAAACGCCAGCCTAAGAAAACATTTACTCCTAGTTAGTTTGTTTTGTATTCTGTGATTTTGTGGACATTTTCTTTTTTTCTTTTTTTTTTTGTACTAGATTTTCAGATATTTATTCTTGATGGTTTTGAGTACATATTTTGTGGTTCAATTTTTTTTTTCGGTACTTATGGTTGTCTTTTTCTATATAGTGTTTCATATAACATATATGTATGCATGCTAAATTTTATCATTTGACGAATGAATTGATATTAAAGTGATATTATTTTGTGTTCAAAATTTTAAATCAAAATTTACAAAACATCTTCATAATAACTTAAAAAAATAAAAAAAAAATAAAAAAAAAATCAATACATAAAAACGGATTTTCAAAATCCGTTTTTATAAAACAAAAAAATAAAAAAAATAATATATATATAAAAACGGATGTTCGGAATCCATTTTTATATGTAAAAACGGTTTTTCAAAATCCGTTTTACGTAAAACAGATTTTGGTAATTCGTTTTTTGCTGTATTAATTAAGGCTAATTACATCATTATCCGTTTTTCTGCTGAAAACGGATTCTGAAAATCCTTTTTTATTGCAAAAACGGATTCTCAGAATCCGGCCGTTTTACTTTTTTCCACAACTTTTTTTTTTCCTCAGATATTTTTTTTTTAGATAAATAAAAATATAAGGCTCTGTTTTTTAAATTATAAGGCACTTAAAGGTCCACTAGTGCGTGGCCCGTGCGATTCACAGAAAAACAATATTATGATTGTATTATAAATTAAACATATAACTAACATTAATCATGATTTATCCATTGTATTTAAATTAAACTGGGTTGGATACAGTCCGACCGGATGGACCGAGAACCGGTTTATAACCAGTCTAGTTTTCTTGAATAAAATATTTGCTCTCGAATCCGTTAACACCAGTCTGTTGGACTGGTAGGATCGATATGATTTTCTAAATTAATTTTGTTATATTTAAAATTATTTTTAATAAAATTACATATTTAAATAAAATAGAGATTTACATATTTCAAATATGAAGATAACTTTTTATGACAAATATATGTATTCCAAAGAATGGAATAAAAATTCTTTTATGAAAACATGTTCCATAATTTTTGTGCATTTATATATTATTTTATTAATATAAATGAGAATATAATATAAGTTTTAATAATATATGGTAAACCGTATTTCATGTTATCTATATATTATAGTTTATAATGCAACTTATTTTTTTTTAACGTATCGCATACTACTACATAGGACATTAATTGGCACGTTTTGTAATTTCTTACCTTTATTTTGTGATTAGTTTAATATTAACCCAAGTAATAATAGTATGCACTTGAGGATCCATTTGAAAGTGGTACGGCTTTCCAGTCAACGGTATTATTTATGCATGCGACGACTTCAAAGTCCAAACAGTTGAACTGTTGCGAAGCACAGTGAATTGGGTCCTCATAACAACGATTTTTTAAAATATAAGGATCTATTACCAAACATATATTTTAATTTTATGTGTGAATATCTCAACTCAAAACACACATAAATTGTGGCGGGCATAGCATAACCATTTTTTTTTATAAACAAGAATGGAATAAGAACATGATATTATAAAATAAAAGTACAAATTATTGTATTTTCTCTGTTTTTATGTGTGCTAATTACTAATTTATAATCAGTTTATTATTATTAGT